TCGAGAAGAAACAAAGCAACCTCGGCGTCCGATCGCAGGCCTTCCGCTCCTTGAGTTCTCACCAGCGCTGGAAAGCTGATCCGATATTTACACGGGTCCTACATCTTGCCTTATTCTTCATCTTTTGTTTTTTATCCGCCATCTCTATCTTTCTGTCGCTCGGCTCGCTAATGTCCGTCCTGTGCACTGAACGATCTCTCCTCCACATCATGAGTAGACACGCCCCTTACTGCTGATTGGCTAAAAGTTTGTTTTGCCAGTCGGTCCGAATCAGTTTTCTAAAGCGTTTTTGAAAAATCGCTTACTCCACCTTTAATACTGTAAAGTTGCTTTGACACAATCTGTATTGTATTCCAAACCAGCTGAAACAAGGTGACTTGACTTGACATACACACACACACACACACACACTCATATACACTCACACTCATACACACACATACACTCACTCACTCATACACACACACACTCAGTGACGAGGCCATTGTTTATGATCCCACGATCACACATACTGACGGATGATCAACACTCATGAATAACACATCACATGATCTCACTCACGTCACTCTGCTGTTTGGACACTTCTTTAGCGAACACCGTCTCAATGGTCTGTGGCATCTGAGTGTACAGACACACCTGAGCGTCCAGAGAGTCTCTATAGCTCTTCTGCACAGAACAGAAAACAGCAGCGTCAGCACAGCACTGATTCACAGAACTGATTCAGAGAACTGATTCAGAGAACTGATTCAGAGTACTGATTGAAACACTATCAAACACTATGAGTGTGTGTGTGTGTGTTGTGTGTGAGCGTGTGTGTGTGTGTTGTGTGTGAGTGTGTAAGTGTACCTGACTGTAGAGTTGTGTCAGTTCTCGGGCGTGTTGTGTTTCACTGGTTTCGGGCAGATGGGCATACAGGCACTTCTGCAGCTCCTTCTTTCCATCCTCCTTATATTTATTCTACATTCACACATCATTTACATATCATTAATATTCAAGTAGCTCATTAAAACACCTTTGGACAGCACTGGGTCACTGTTCAACTATAACGTGAGGCTTTAAAAGCCCGTTCACACCAAGAATGATAACTATAACATCACTTTTTAATAAAATATAGTTATCATTACAGTTATCTTCATAGTTTTTGCAAGCCAGAAGCAGAAGAATATGAGAATCCCTGATGATCACCTCACTGATGAGCGGCGTCAGCTCCTTCACAAACTGTGTGTTTTAGGTTGGGGGTGCTGTACGCGCGGGGGGCTATTTACACTTAGTGAATATAGCAGTATTTTTTAGTGATATATGCTATTTACATTAAGTGCAAATAGCTATAGATTCTATTTATACTATGTTAAAATAGCAGGATATCCTGCTAATTACTTATTGCAAATAGTGGCAATTATCTGCACCGCCGCATTGTAATACATTATAAAACAGTATGCAATAATAACTTATTGAGTGTAAATTTTAATTATAATTCAAATTATTAAATGGATGCCACCTTATTGGGACAAAAGCCCTCCCTACACCTACCCTAACCCTACCTGACTTTTTGATTATTTCCTTCATTTTCATTAAAAATAAATGCTTTTCTGATGTGATTTGAAATTTGAAAAGAGAGAAAAAAGTTCACCAAAAGGCAGATTCGAACCCGGGTCAATCGTGTCAAAAGTAGTAGGCTATGACACACGCTTTATCATCTACGCCACTGAATCTGATGATTGATGACCGTCTTTTGTAATGTTGACTAGCCCAATCACACGTTGGTAGGTGGAATCAGTGTAAATAGCCTCTGCCAACAAGATTTTTTTAATTTTTATTCCCAACAGTTAAACAGTTGCCCACAGAAAAAAACAGGGGGTGCTGCAGCACCCTCAGCACCCCCACTTCCCGCGCCTATGCACACACATCAATCACAAACACACAGAGTCACACACACACGTACATCACTCTGAAGCTCCGCCATCTGTTTGGCAAACTGTGTTTCCTGTGTTTGCGGCATCTGAGAGTAAATACTGCTGCTGTTCTCCTGAATACCGCTCCGCTTGTACTTATTCTGAGAGGAAACAATCAGAGTCAACATATGAAACGATTCACTGAGTGAAGATATGAAACAATTCACTGGATAAATATATGAAACGATTTAGTGAGCCAGAATGTGAAATGATTCACTGACTCAAGATTTGAAATTATTTGCTCAGTCAGAAAATTAAAGGTTTCACTCAGAATTTGAAATGATTTGGTCAGCACATGAGTGGATGGGATGTGACACACACACACACACACACCTCGCTCAGGAGTTCAGAGATGTTTTTGGCGTGCTGAGTCTCAGTCGTCTCTGGCAGAAGAGCGTACAGACTGGCAGAAGCCTCTTTCTTCGCCTCCTCCTTGTATTTCGTCTGAAATCAAAGCAAATGTTAATTTCCATGCGTGTTTATCCTGACACACGTGTCCCGTGGCTCATATAACAGCGGTTCTTTCACCTGACTCAGGAGGTCCGTGGCGTCTTTGGCGTGTTGAGTCTCCAGAGTCTCCGGCAGCAGCGAATACAGAGCGCCTGACGCCTGCTTCCTTCCTGCCTCTTTATATTTACTCTGAAAGCACACAAACACACAGTCACTCATGGGTACTCTGGTTTCACTCCACATCTGATGAGTTAATGTTCTCATAATGCACTCTACGAACATGTGAATGGCCTCTCTACAGGCTGTGAATAATTTTAATTAAATTAAATACATAAGACTCAAATGAATCACAATGACATACAGTGTCTTTAGGTTTACATTATCTGTTTGACATGCTTAGAAACATGAACACAGGGTTAAAAGTGTGAGTGAGTGAGTGAGTGAGTGAGTGAGTGAGTGAGTGAGTGAGTGAGTGTGTGTGAATGTGTGAGTATGT